AATTTCTACACTAAACTTTTGAGTTAGAGCCAGAACTTTTTCTTTAAATATGGGTCTGCTGATTGGAGTTTTTCACCATCTTTCTTGCATACGTCACACCTATAATATATTATGTAGGACTTGCATTTTGGTTTCCTTAAAATGCAGTGCAGGATCTGTATGGGTTTTTACAATTACTTTCCTTATTTTAGACTTGTATTACCCCTGCATAACAATAGTCATTTTTAATGACTTGCTTTTATTGAGTTTTGAGTTTTGCCAAATGCAAACATAGTTTTCATAAAAATAGCTCTGTTCTCATGTTTTGGCAGTTTACATAATAATTAATAATCAGTGCAAATAGCATGATACATTTGTGAACAAAAGAAATTTATTTTTAGATACAATACCAAAAGCATAATCCATGAAAGAAAAATGATAAGTGGGACTTCATTAAAATTGAAAATTTCTCAGCAAAACATTCTGTTTAAGAAAATGAAAAGAGACTTCTGGTCAAGATGGTGGTGTAGGTAAATGCAGTACTCGCCTCCTTCTCCAACAACCACATCAAAACTAAAACTAAACTACAAAACAAGCATTATTCAGAACCACCTGAAACCTATATGAATGGAAGTCCTACAACTAAGGATTTAAATAAAAAGCCATATTGAGATTGGTAGGAGGGATGGAGTTGAAGAACAGGATGTGGTAGATAAAAATTGGGAGGAATATCTCTGCTGTGGAGGCCTCCCCTGAGGAGTAAGGTTACCAGCCCCACACCAGGCCACCCAGCCCAGGATTCCAGTGCCAGGAGGAGAAGTCCCCACAATTTTTGGCTGTAAAAACCAAAGGGCATTGTGGCTGAGTGAAATGGAGGGCTTCTGGAGTCCCAGGCAGTTCCTCCTAAAGGGCCTGCACACAGGCTTACTCTGACTTACTCTTTCAGAGTTCCAGCACTGAGATAGCAGCTCGAAAGGCACCAGGGACATACAAGGAGGAACTGAAGTATTTGGCATCAGGGCAAGAGCTGCGGGGTCAGCTTTTTCCCAGAGAAAAATGCTGGCAGAGGCCTTTTTGGGTTTTTTTGTTTGTTTTTTGAGCCCTCTTCCAACAAAGCTGGCAGAAGGGCAACATATATGAGTCTCTGTCAACCTGGCTCACACTGTTTGCCTGCCCTGTTGATTCCCTGAAATCCCATCCCACCCATGTGGCTTTTCTATATAATGACCTATCTTTGCTGACACTTTTTTAGACTTCTCTAAAATCTCTCAAGCCACATCTGGCCTTGGTGTGCCCTGTACCTTTTGCTAAGTTGTCCCCAGGCGTGGCACTAGCAGTATCCAGTTTTGGTTTACAGTTAGTCTTACCTGGGCACCTCTAAGCCCAACACAAGTAACAGCCATCTGCAGATCGTTTTGTAGTTCATGTTGGGTGGCCCCAGGCAGAACACACATGGTGGCTCACCTTTGCTTGCACCTCCTAGGAGGCCCCAGAGCCAGCAACCAGTGGACAGCCTCAAACTACATCAAAGCATCACTCAGTCACTTTCACAAGTGACACAGGGTGGATTCAAGTGGGCACCATAGCCCCACTGATGTAAGTTCTGCTCTGTTGGGGTGGGCTCCTGCACAGATGATCCTCTGTGGTGGTCCGTGGTCATAGCCAGTCCTTGCAGCCAGTCAACCTGGGGGTAAACCCTGTCCACTGATATGCCAACAGCAATCAAGGCTCAACCACAACAGGAGGGCATGCATAGCCCACATAAGGGCATACATGGAGTTCCCAACTCAGGTGAACCCTACAAGATACCTACTACATTAGGCCACTCTACCAAGCCTGGGAGATGCAGCAGCTCTACCTAATACATAGAAACAAACACAGGAAGGCTGCCAAATGAGGGGACAAAGAAACATGTTTCAAATGAAAGAACAGAACAAAATTCTAAACAAAATGGAGACAAGTAATATAAATGCAGAATTCAAAACATTGGTTATAAGGGTTCTCAGTGAACTTAGTGAGAACTTCAATACCATAAAAAAAAGACCAGTCACTAACTGAAATGAAAAATAATTTACAGGGAATCAACAGTAGAGTAGATGAAGCTGAGAATCAAATTAGTGATTTGGAATATAAGGAAGTACAAAAGCACCCAATCAGAACAACAAAAAGAAAAATGAATCAAAAAAAAATGAAGGTAGTGTAAGGAGCCTCTAGGACAGCTTCAAGTGTACCAACGTTCACATCATGGGAGTGCCAGAAAGAGAGCAAGAAATTGAAAACCTATTTGATAAAAGAATGACAGAAAACTTCCCTAACCTGGTGAAAGAAATAGACATATGAATCCAGGAAGCACAGAGAGTTTCAAACAAGATGAGCTGAGGGAGGCCCACACCAAGACACATAATAATTAAAATGCAAAAGGTTAAAGACAAAGAGAGAATCTTAAAAGCAGCAAGAAAAAAGCAATTAGTTACCAACAAGGGAGCTCCCAGTGTCAGCTGATTTCTCAACAGAAACTTTGCAGGCCAGTAGGGATTGGCAAGAAATATTCAAAGTGATAAAAAGCAAGGACCTACAATCAGGATTACCCAGAAAGCTATCATTTAGATTCAAAAGACATATAAAGAGCTTCCCACATAAGAAAAAGCTAAAGAAATTTTTACCACCAAACCAGTATTACATGAAATGTTAAAAGGTCTTCTTTAAGAAAAATAAAGGGGAAAAAAGATAAAAAATATGAACAGTAAAATGGCAATAAATATATATCTATCAATAATTGAATCTAAAAAACTAAACAAGCAGAACAGAAACAGACTCAAAGATTTTGATGGTTGCTAGATGGGAGAGGGGCTGGGGGATGGTGAAGAAGGTGAAGGAATTTAGAAGTACAAATTGGTTGTTACAGAATAGTCATGGGGATATAAAGTATAGCATAAGGAATATAGTCAGTAATATTCTAATAACTATATATGATGTCAGATGAGTGGGAGATTTATTGGGATGATCACTTAGTAAGTTATGTAATGTCTAATCACTGGGGTATACACCTGAAACTAATATAATATTGTATGTCAACTATAATGATAAATTAAAAATGATATAAATAAAATTTAAAATAGAAGATGAAAAGATAGGCCACAGACTGGAAGAAAATAATACATATCTGAAAAAGGACTTGTATCCAAATTATACAGTGGACTCTTGAAATTCAACAATAAACAAACAGCCCAATTATAAAACGGACAAAAGTGAACAAACACATTACCAAAGAAGAGATATAGATGGCAAATAGCACATGAAGAGATGCTCAAAATTATATGTCATTAGGAAAATGCAAATTAAAATAATGAGCTATCACTATATGCTATTAAAATGGCGAAAATCTAGAACACTGACAATACCAAAAGCAGGCAAGGACGTAGTACTATAGAAACTCTCATTCATTGCTAGTGGGAATGCAAATTGATACAACCACTTTGGAGTACATTTTGGCAGTTTCTTACCAAGCTAAACATACTTTATCACTTAATCCAACAGTCACTCTCCTTGATACTTACCCAAATGAGTGGAAAACTTATATCCACACAAAATCCTGCGCATGAACGTTTATAGCAACTTTCTTCACAGTTGCCAAAACTTGAAAGCAACCAAAATGTCCTTCACAATAAAAAGTTAGCAAACCATGAAAAGACATGGAGGAACCTTAAATGCATATTGCTAAGTTAAATAAGCCCATCTGAAAGTTCACAGTTTCTATGACCTAACCAACTGGCATCTGTAAAAGACAAAACTATATAGAGACCGTTGCCAGGGATTTGGGGGAAAGAGGAATGAATAGGTATAACACAGGATTTTAAAGTATGAAACTATTCTGTATGATACTGTAATGGCAGATACATGACATTGTTTATATGTCAACCCATAGAACTGTACAACACAAAGAGTGAATCCTAATGTAAACTATGGACTTGAATAATGTATCAGTATTTGTTCATGAGTCACAACAAATGTGCCACACTAATGCTAAATGATGATAGTAGGAGAAGCGAAGGGAGAGAAATAAAGTATATTAATGTTTAAAAATTGATTATTATAGACATAAAGCTTAGCTACTAAGAGCAGAAGTGGAGGTGTACTGCACAAAGGAACCTGCTAGCTGTGAGCGTCCAGCATCATCCATATGCTTCATTGAGAGAAACAGAGATCATTGGTTAAACTGGCACTTGATAAAGTGGAATCAGTAGTTGGAGAGCTTCAGCTATGATAAAAGTGTAACCTGTTGTGTGGATGAAACTACTCTGGAGAGTATATTTTGTAAACAAAGAAGAAAAAATGCAGAACACAACCATGAATGATAGGAAGGAAGCCAGAGGAGTGGCCAAAGATCCCTAAGGAAAACCAGGAAAGAGCAAGTGTTTTAGGAACCGAGGGAAGAGGAAGTTTCAAGGAAGAGACAGAGAGGCAACAATATCTAATGGTTCTTAGAAATTAAAATATGATTAATTCATTCAGCAAATATTTAATAGTGACCTATTATGTATATACATGATATCTTGTCTCTGCAGCGGAAACTAAGTAGGTCACTGTATCCTAGTACGGCATTCACAGATTCCTGTCTTCATGAATTATAATCTATTGGAGAGGACAGATACTACAGCAAAATAAAAGGAACAGGCTACTATGAAAGCATGTAGCTAGTGATGCTAGCTAAGTTAGTCACTAGGTCTTGGTGATTATTCCTGAAGAAATTATATTTAACCTGGGATTTGAAGAAAATACCTGAATTACTGAGGTAACACATATGTACATAGTTGAACATAGAAGTCAAAGAGATCATTAGAGGACCTGAGAAAGAGCACACAGATGGTGGTCAGGAGTCAGAACAGCTCTCTGCCTTGCCGTACTGAAGAGATGTTGAGTATGGAGATTTCTCCCTCTCTCTCTTTTTTTAATGATTAGAGATTGAATTTTCCTTGAGGTTTTATCAGCCTTAACACTTCCTTATTACATTCTTTCCTCAGGTATAGTAGTGGAAGATTGTCTGATTTTGCTCCAAAACTTGTTAAAAAACAACAATTCCAATCAAAATTTTTTTAAAGAAGGCTCATATATTCAACGTATGAAACCTTGGTTTGAAGTTGGAGATGAAAATTCTGGCTGGTCTGCACAGAAAGTAACAAATCTGCACCTAATGCTACAGGTATATTGAACTTAGACATAAATGTGATAAGAATTTTGACTGATACTTTCAAAGAAAAGTAAACTCATGTTTAATAAAACCAGGATGTTCAGTAGATTCCAGGTTGGCTTCTTAAAAAATTTCCTTATAAAAAGGAAATTGGTCCCCTTCACCCCTCTACACACACCCCTATCATTCAGCTTTAATAATTATTACATCTGGCAATTTTGTTTCATTGTTTAATTCCCCTCCCTTACCTACAGGATTATTTTAAAGCAGAACCAAACGTATAGTTTCTGATGAGTTTTACAACAGGAGATAATCAATTATGGTGTTGACTTGGAATTTTTTAAATGTGCTTTTTTTAATGAAGGCTTTGATATAAATTTTAATATTTAGAATATTAAGTTCAACAAATAAATTCATTCAGAAAACATTTACTGAGGGCCAGGCACTGAGTGCTAGTAAATGAATTATAATGTCTCTATCCTCAAAGATTGATAGTCTGAGTTTTAAGTCCAATACAAATTAAATTGACAAATCACCTCTAATTTTATTTAAGCTTTATTGTGATAGTGAAAGTGAGGACAGTAGGATCCCAAATTATTTCTGCATCAGAGAAAATTATGAAGTTCTTTGAAGCATTTTATTTATTTACTCCTTTATTGAATTCCCCTATTCCAAACACTTAATTTTAGACCACCTCCTAACTACTCTGATGAATCTTACGGGTCTTTGAATGTCTCAGAATTGTGCCTGCATCTCTGAAGTTGTGTTCCACAAAACTAGATTATTAATTTCTCTAGTAATTAGAATCTTAATATTGTTGCATGTCCTGGAGTTGCTTATATAGGTTTGATTGATAATTAGGGTCACCATATACCCCAGTTTGCCACAACAGTATTAGTTATGTAATTACTAAGTGTCATCTTTTGCTTCAAGTGTCCCTATTTGGGTAATAAATTATATAGTTACCCTATTCAGAATATGCGTAAACCTTGTTAGGAAAATATTTTACAGAAGAACATGGGCAGAATCTTTCTATTTATACTCCCAACTTCATTATTTCTATTTTCACATGTCAGTATTGCACATTTCAAGACTTCATTAGTTTATGTTTTTTAGAACACCATTTCAAGTGGTAAGCTTGATACCTTTGCTCAACACAGCTTTCTTAATAAAGGAAATTCCTCTAGAAAAGTAATTTACAAAATGTGATTAGAGAGAGTGAAGGGATCTGATGATGTACAAAAACTTACATGTTTCCTATCGAACAGTGAAAATTTAAATTGCTTGAGGAGCCTATTCATGTTTTATATGTAGGATACTATGTAAAGAATTCTTCTTGAAGACAGTGTCACTGTTTAAAAAGTAAAGTACTCATTTAACCCCCAGAAATTTTAGAATAGAGTGTTACATGTAAACAGAAGAACAGAACCTGGTCTATGTGGCTCAGTTGGTTGGAGTGTTGTCCTGTATACCAAAAGGTTGCAGGTTCAGTTCCCGGGCACATACCTAAGTTGCGAGTTTGATCCCTGGTTGAGGTGCATGTAAGAGGCAACTGATCGCTGTTTCTCTCTCTGTCATCGATGTTTCAATCTCTCCCTCTCCCTCTCTCCCTCTCTCCCTCTCTCCCTCTCTCCCTCTCTCCTCTCTCCCTCTCTCCCTCTCTCCCCCCTCTCCCCCTCTCCCTCTCTCCCTCTCCCTCTCCCTCTCCCTCTCTCTCTCTCCTCTCCCTCTTCCTCTTCCTCTCCCTCTCCCTCTCCCTCTCTCTCTCTCCCTCTCTCTCCCAACCTCCCACCCTCCCACCCCCTTTTCCTCTCCCTCTCCCCCCCTTCCTTTCTCTAAAAAAATCAATAAAACATTTTCAGGTAAGGATTTTTAAAAAATAGAAAAATACTGTTTTTATTCTAGTTAGATAGTAAGTTGGTTAAGCATCCTTTCCTTTTAAAAAGTAAATAAACTAACTAGATACTAATCTTGAAGAACATAAATGTCAAAGTAAAACTGAGTTTAATTTATATATTCTTCACCTCAAAGATTGAGTAGTTGGAGCATTCATGACTTCATAGGCCACAGGTTATTTTCTGCTTTTCAGTCTGTTGAATGCTCTTTCTTTATAGCTATATTCAGGGTTGTTTGTATTTCAAGCACATGAAAAGGCGTCATAAATGATGATGATAATCCTTTTTTGGATGGGTACACCCTAACCGGAATTATTCATCATTACAATTATAATCTCGTTTGAATTCCAAGCCACGAAAAGTTGAAATTGATCTGCTTGAGGATATTCCATTCCAATATTTGCAGATTGAATTTGGGGGGAAGAATCTTTTTGAAAAGTTTTGTTGGTCATAAAACATTTAATCTTTTTTGAATGATAGTTTAATGTCTAGTTCTGCCTCCCAGAAAGCTCATTATCTTATGAGAGAATCTTTTTCAATGTTTGGTAGTTTAAATTATTAAAAACTTAATCTATATAATGAGTCAAAATCTGCTTTCTTATCCTTATAATAAGGACTCACTCTTTTTTCAACCATTCTTTCTACTTTTCTTTCATCAAGAAATTGATAATTATTTTTTCTGTAATAAAAATATCTAACTGCTATTAGATCATATTAAGAAATTATTATTTTGATGTGTGTAATAATGGCTTGGTGACTGTGTTTTCTAAACACAGATACTTATAGAAATATTTGTGGGAGAAATGACAAATAGCTTGATAGCTGCTTAAAAAAATTTTAAGTAGGGATAGGAGGAGAATAAATTTTAAAAACAACAACAAAAAAAAATTTTTAAGCATCCTTTCCTTTTAAAAAGTAAAATCTAACTAGAGAGGTCCAAGGAGAAGAACCAATGTGAAATCCTAAAGCCTCTCTCTGGTGTCATCAAACTATTAGTTAATCCTCTTAATAAAGTATTATCATAAATGTCCCATTAGATTTTGATATACAAGATTTTTATACACATATATAAATATTACTCTAGTTTTAAAATGCAAGGTATATATAAAATTATTTTGAAGATGTAACCGTGCTGAACACTTGTTTGGGATGACTTTTCATGTTTCTTAAATTTCATATTTAAGTTCAGGCTAATCTAATCATAGGATCCAAATTAGGGACTTAATTAGCATTAGCAGGCAGTAGAGCCAACCCCTTGCCTAATGCATGAATCTTCTACCATGTCTCCAGTTGTTAGTTTATCCTCTCTTTAAATATTTCCAGTTTAGGAGGAATTTAAACACCTCCACCCATTCTGTTTTCAGACCTGCTCTATAATTAGGTGTTCATCCTTACTTCAATAAGAAATCTTACTTTGATAAAATACCACCCTGTTACTTATTCATTTATTCATTCATTTATTGAGTATGGACTATGTTACAAATACTGTGCTTGTTTGGGATACAAAATTGACCAAGGTAGTTTCTATTCTCTGGGAGTTCATAATCACTGAAGGAGATAAACTTAGGATTAATATATAGCAGTGGTTCTCAACCTTGGCTGCACATTAGAATCACCCGGGAATCTTTTTAAAATCCTGATTTCTGGGCCTCATCTTCCGGGAATTCTGTTTCTTTGTTATGGGGTGGGGCCACAACGTTAGTTACAAAGAAACAGAATTTCCAGAGGATGAGGCCCAGAAATCAGGATTTTAAAAAGATTCCCAGGTGATTCTAATGTGCAGCCAAGGTTGAGAACCACTGATATGTAGTATAACAGAACTATTGTCATGATAGCATAAAGGGAAGAGCACCCAGATCTGGCTAAGCAGGTGAGGGCATTCTTCACCTAGATGTTTTTGTTGTTGCTATAGATTAAATTTGCTTCAAGACTTTTTTAAAAGACAGATTTTGTTTTCTCTTTCTTTTGCAGCTTATTCGTGTCCTGGTATCTCCCACCAACCCTCCTGGTGCTACCAGTAGCTGCCAGAAAGCCATGTTCCAGTGTGGCTTATTGCAGCAGCTTTGCACTATCCTAATGGCTACTGGAATTCCTGCTGATATCCTGACTGAGGTAAACTGAATGAAGGCAGAGACTGCTCTGTGGAGTTGAAATCCTAAGAATTATCAGAAAGAATTAAATATCAGCTATAGGAAAAACAGCAATAGTTAACTATTTTTATGTGTTAAAGTCCTTATTGATCCTACTAAAATATAATTAGCATAATGATGACAGTATCAATTCCAAAAGGTGGACTCATTCCTCAAGTTTAATAATATATAACTAGTTATAAAGCATAGAAGAGTTCTCAATAATTTTATTGTGCTCAACAGGCATGCACAGCATGATTTATGTTTGTAATTTTGAGAACAATATGACTTTAGTTTTAGTCAAGTAAGACTTGAGTCTTAAATAGTCTTGCTTATTTATAAAATAGTAAATTCTTTCCTGACATATGGCATTTTCTGTTTCCCATCTTTTAAGAAAAACGTTAATTTGAAGAAAATAATGGTTTAGTTTATTTAAGTTATCTTTTTATTTTTCTCAACACATGCACATTAAAAGAACAGATAATAATAAAAGTTTTATAACAAAAACAGCTGTCTTCAACCTCTCTCCTCCCTACGATAAGTCGCACTAACCCCCTGTATAGCCCTCCTACTTTACTTCCCTTGTCACCCCAGTAACTTATTTTTATTTTATTTTTCTTTTTTAATATATTTTATTGATCTTTCTTTTTTTTTTAATTAAATCTTTATAGTTCAGATTATTACATTTGTTCCTCTTTTCCCCCCCCATAACTCCCCTCCTCCCAGTTCCCGCCCCACCCTCCGTCCTCACTCCCCACCCACTGTCCTCATCCATAGGTGCACGATTTTTGTCCAGTCTCTTCCCGCATCTCCCACACCCCTTTCCCCCCCCAAGAATAGTCAGTCCACTCCCTTTCTATGTCCCTGATTCTATTATAATCAACAGTTCATTCTGTTCATCAGATTATTTATTCACTTGATTCTTAGATTCACTTGTTGATAGATGCATATTTGTTATTCATAATTTGTATCTTTACCTTTTTCTTCCTCTTCCTCTTCTTAAAGGATACCTTTCAGCATTTCATATAATCCTGGTTTGGTGGTGATGAACTCCTTTAGCTTTTCCTTATCTGTGAAGCTCTTTATCTGACCTTCAATTCTGAATGATAGCTTTGCTGGATAAAGTAATCTTGGTTGTAGGTTCTTGGCATTCACAGAGAGGAAGGGAGAGGGAGAGAGAGTTAGAAACATCGATGAGAGAGAAACATCGATCAGCTGCCTCCTGCACATCTCCCACTGGGGATGTGCCCGCAACCCAGGTACATGCCCTTGACCGGAATCGAACCCGGGACCTTTCAGTCCGCAGGCCGACGTTCTATCCACTGAGCCAAACCGGTTTCGGCCAGTAACTTATTTTTAAATCAATAATCAGGGCTTAATAGTTTTACGACGATATTTATACTGTCCCCTGCTAAGCCAAAGAGAGCCCTATGTCTTTTTTTAAAACACACCTTGTTCTTGTCTGTCTTATAATAGTGTTCTTTTTTGCGTTTTATTTTCTGGAAACCTTTCATCATCCTGCTCCAATACAGACTGGTTATTCTCTCTTTCTGCCACATGACTCTTGTCCTGGACTTTCATTCACCATTCCTTCTAGGACTTACTTTCACCTCTCTCTTGACTTGGATTCCTTAGTTATAGATTCCATGTCTTCCCCTGATCCCCCATTTCATTATCTTATTTTAGTTAACTTCTTGAAAAGGGGTAAATGGCAAGAGAATATATTTTTAGTTTTGTTATTCCTTCAGAGTTAATTTGAACTTTGGCAAGGGATAGAATTCAGAGTTGGAAATTACTTACACTCAGCTTTCAGAACATTATTTCAGTGTTGCTGAAGCCATCTTGAATCTTTCTTTCTTTCTTTTTTTTAAATTAAATCTTTATTGTTCAGATTATTACATTTGTTCCTCTTTTTCCCCCCATAACTCCCCTCCTCCCAGTTCCCACCCCACTCTCCGCCCTCACTCCCCACCCACTGTCCTCATCCATAGGTGCACGATTTTTGTCCAGTCTCTTCCCGCATCTCCCACACCCCTTCCCCCCCCCAAGAATAGTCAGTCCATTCCCTTTCTATATCCCTGATTCTATTATAATCACCAGTTCATTCTGTTCATCAGATTATTTATTCACTTGATTCTTAGATTCACTTGTTGATAGATGCGTATTTGTTGTTCATAATTTGTATCTTTACCTTTTTCTTCTTCTTCCTCTTCTTAAAGGATACCTTTCAGCATTTCATATAATACTGGTTTGGTGGTGATGAACTCCTTTAGCTTTTCTTTATCTGTGAAGCTCTTTATCTGACCTTCAATTCTGAATGATAGCTTTGCTGGATAAAGTAATCTTGGTTGTAGGTTCTTGGTATTCATCACTTTGAATATTTCTTGCCACTCTCTTCTGGCCTGCAAAGTTTCTGTTAAAAAATCAGCTGACTGTCGTATGGGTATTCCCTTGTAGGTAACTGAGTTTCTTTCTCTTGCTGCTTTTAAGATTCTCTCTTTGTCTTTTGCTCTTGGCATTTTAATTATGATGTGTCTTGGTGTGGTCCTCTTTGGATTCCTTTTGTTTGGGGTTCTCTGCGCTTCCTGGACTTGTAAGTCTATTTCTTTCACCAGGTAGGGGAAGTTTTCTGTCATTATTTCTTCAAATAGGTTTTCAATATCTTGCTCTCTCTCATCTTCTGGCACCCCTATAATTTGGATGTTGGTATGCTTGAAGCTGTCCCAGAGGCTCCTTACACTATCTTCGTATTTTCGGATTCTTTTTTCATTTTGCTTTTCTGGTTGGGTGTTTTTTGCTTCTTCGCATTTCAAATCTTTGACTTGATTCTTGCACTCCTCTGGTCTGCTGTTGGGAGTCTGTATAATATTCTTTATTTCAGTCAGTGTATGCTTAATTTCTAGTTGGTTCTTTATCACAACATCGAGGGTCTCATTAGATTTCTTGAGGATCTCAGTATATTTATCAGCGGTCTCACCAGTCTGTACGAGGGCCTTACTAAATTTATCGGCGGCTTCTAGACAGTTCTTGAGAGACCTTAAAAGCGTGGTTTTGAACTCTATATCCTCCATTTCTGTCATTTGTGTCCTGTTTCTTTGTCTCCGCATTTTTTATGCTTTCTTGGTGCACCCCCTTGTGGTCTTTGTGCGCAGTCTTGTTGTAGTTAAGCCTTGATTGTTGTAGGTAATACTGGGGGGGATTTGACCTCCAGGCCAACTGGCTGTGAGAATCAGCTGTGTCTGCAGTGGGAGAACTTCTGTCCTCTAGGGAGGTGCTAATCTAGCCTTTGTCTGAGGGTATCCCGCAAATGCCTCTGTGCAAGGCTTGGGCAGGGCGGGTCTCAGGGGATCAACAGGGCGGGCCGAGCAAGCAGTTATGCCTGCTCTCAGTCCCATCCCCAGCGGCTCTGCCTCTCAGTGTCCCAGCAACTGCTACAAATCTCGGAGAGAAAGCTGCCCTCAAGTTCCAACTGATGCCAGACAGTCCCGCTTCTCTCGTATGAGTCTGGGTCCCCAGAGACTTGCCCAGAACTGGAGCTCAGAGCCTGAGACTCCCTCCCGATTGAAACAGACAACCGCGCCCTCAGCCGCCAGCCCGCTCCGCGCGCACCTCCACACCTTAGTATTTTACTTCGGCACCGCGCCTCCTCTGAGTCTCAGTATGCTTTTCTCTTTCCTTCAATTTGTAGAATTTCCCCTCAGCCAGCCTTCCTGTGGTTCTGGGTGATGTCCGTTCCGTATCTCCCATCTTGAATCTTAATCCTTTTTATAGAATCTGCTTTTTTCTCTCTAAAACTTTTGGAATCTTTATTTCTGGTTTTCTGAAATTTTACTGATGATGTGCTATACTGCAGAACTTTTTTTCCTCCGTTTATTTGAAAGAGCACTCACTGGGCCCTTTCAAGCCAGAGACAAATGTCCTTCAGTTCTGAGGGTGTTTTTTGGATTCCATGATAATGTTCCTTTTCTGTTTTTCCAACTCTATTAATAGATTGTTGGGCTTTCTGGACCTACTTTTGTTTTTTAATTCTATTTTCTTGGAGGTTTTTTCAACTTCATTCTTTTTCTGTGTGTGTATCTTCACCCAAAGATATTTTTTCCATTGATTTATAGAGAGAGTGGGAGGGAGGAAGAGGAGTGGGAAGAGAGAGGAAAACATCAGTGTGAGAGAGACACATCGATTGGTTGCCTCCCACACACCCCCCTACCGGGGGTGGGTATTAAACCTGCAACCCAGGTATGTGCCCTTGACCAGAGTCAAATCTGAGACCCTTTGGTGTGTGGGCCAACATTCTAACCATTTACCCACACAGGCCATGGCTCAACTTCATTCTTAAATTGAATCTTTAATTTGTTACATTTTAAATTTGTTCTCTAATATTATATTAAAGCATTCTCTTCTTGTTTTGTAGAAATAGCTCTTAAGTGATATTATTAGTTTTAGTTTTTTGAGATTTTAAATGTGTGTGGTCAAGTATTACTTTTAATTGGAGGCCTACACTTAATTTTTTAAATGTTACCTCAAGGAAGTATCACAAGATTATATGCTGTCACTAATTAATTTGGTGTCTGAATTTTGGCTTTGAAAAGCAAAAAGCAGAGCTATAACAGTTTTCTTCACTTGAAAACAGGTTTGCTTCCTTAACTTGCTTTCTCTAAATTATTTTCCCCCTTTAATAGACCATTAATACTGTATCAGAAGTTATTCGAGGCTGTCAAGTAAACCAAGACTACTTTGCTTCTGTAAATGCACCTTCAAACCCACCAAGGTAGGAAAAGGGAAATATTGAGAATCTGCTATGAAGTAAAAGCTCACTTTGGGATTTTAGTATGTCTCATATGCACACCTTATTCTTTTAAGAAGTTCAGTTTGTGTGTTTTGAAACTAGAAATTATCTGACAAGATAAAGATGTTGTTATTTTAAAAGAGTTAGTAGTCTTTGGTACCATTTGGGCTCAGGTATCACCTCTTTCACTTTCTAGCTGTGTGCCTTAAGCAAGTAAATCATTTCGCTTCTCTGAGCTGCAGTTATCCTTTCTGTGAAATGGAGATGGAAATACTTAACTTGCTGGTGTTTTGGTTATGGTTTTTCAATCAACAGAAATGACTAGTTATTGATTTACAATGTTTCTTTTTGTGCTTTTTTTAAATGCAACAGACCGGCAATTGTAGTACTTCTCATGTCCATGGTTAATGAAAGGCAGCCATTTGTATTGCGCTGTGCTGTTCTCTATTGTTTCCAGTGTTTCTTATATAAAAATCAAAAAGGACAAGGAGAAATTGTGTCAACACTTCTACCTTCCACCATTGATGGTAAATTATTTTGTTTTAATTCCTGTTTTAAAAAGTAGATAATTGTCTTTCTAGATTTTAATGGTAAAATATATCACAGCTCATAAAAGACCCTGGTTGTAGTAGAATATTTAAAGTATGGCATTTCCTTGAATTTTCTTTAGAAATATAGTGTTTAATTAAGGTAAAAAATTTCTGGAATATTACTATTATCAATTTGATGCCTAAAATATTCTACTATTTCTTTATTCTGCTATTTTTTTCCCCAAGGTCTTTTTTTTAGAGGGGGAGGGAAGGGGTCATCTTTCATTTGCTTTGAAAAACAGACTTTCAAAAACATTACTTAATACTACTAATTAACACATTTTTAGGTAGTATTTTGTCTTTTTCTCTGTGTGGAAAAAACATAATAAATGTTTATTATCATCTGCCTTTTATCTTTGTAGCAACAGGTAATTCAGTGTCGGCTGGTCAGTTATTATGCGGAGGTTTGTTTTCTACTGATTCACTTTCAAACTGGTGCGCTGCTGTGGCCCTCGCCCATGCTTTGCAAGAAAATGCCACCCAGAAAGAACAGTTACTCCGGGTTCAACTTGCTACAAGTATCGGAAACCCTCCGGTTTCTTTATTGCAACAGTGCACCAACATCCTCTCACAGGTGAAGTGCCAGTGAAACTTGACTAAGGGCGTGAGGGAGGCTTGGCTTACATGTTTTGATGCCAATGATATAAGAATTTAAGGCTGTTCTTCGTAGACTGTGGAAATGAAAAAGGGAAGGGGCAAGGACTTACTTACCTGCTTATTAGCTCATTGTAACCTGAAACAGTTTTGTAGAGAAAAAGTTATAAATATTCTTACAAGAATGGTTTTGCCAAATAGTGTTACAACAATAAGGTCTGCATCATGATGGAAACACATATTCTAGGCAGAGGTGTTTATTGGTTTTTCTTTTTCAATCATCCACAGTGTTCTTGCATGTCATTTTAATTCAGCTCACTGTAAGAGAGGGAGTAAAGTCATTTGCAGCCATATACCTCCCTCTTTCTCTTCCCAGACCCAGAGCAATTGAACTTCCTTTCAGAAAACAAAACTAGAATACCAGTCCATGGCTTGTATAGTTAAACTGTATATCTTTTGATGTTTATGAGTTCTCAAAACTCCAAGGCATATAATTTACCTAGTATGATAGAGGAAAGCATAACTAAAAGTGTTTGCATTCCTTTAGACTATCGATAAGAACAGTACTCTCAAAGTATCAATTCTAACTCATTTAGGAATATCACTTACTATTAGATGATTTGCCTACACGAGCCAGACTTGCTGTTGAACAATTCAAGTTCCTGCTTTAGCAACAGGGTAAAGGCATCAACATTCAGAGTCAATGGGTGGGGAGGAAGTAAAAATGTGGGTAAGTCTAAATTGCTGTATCCTCTGGAATTGTCTGATACCCCATCCCATGATAATGTGCCATATCCTCAATTTTTAATTTTGCTATATTTATAGAATTGTTTTATTGTTAGATTTAAAGAAACATCAGTGTCATCCATAGGAAGTGATAAATGAAAGCTTAAAAATTAACTGTAGCCCTGGCCGGGTGGCTCCGTTGGTTGAAGCGTTGTCCTGTACAACAAAAGGTTGCAGGTTCGATCCCTAGTCAGGACTCATGCTGAAGGCAAACAGTTGATTCTTACATTGATGTCTCTGTCTGTCTGTCTCTCTCTCTCTCTCTCTCTCTTTCTCAAAATCAATAAAAACATATCCTTGAATGAGGATTTAAAAACTTAACTGTAAGTGAAAGGGGAGTTAAAAACTCCCTTTGTTGTTTAACATTGCTTTACTTCAATTGAAAGCTTATAGCTTTGATTTATCATTTATCTCTTATTGTTTAAAAAATCTATCACAAAATATTCATATTTTTATTTATTTAATACTTGGCATTTCCATGTTGCTGTTAGTTGAAAACAGCTTTTCTTAAGCCAAACAATAATTAACTGTCTAACCACCATCACTATAGACTTTGCTCTAACATTGTAATTATAACTCATGCATAACGAGAAATCCTCAAGATAATGGTGTCTTCTTGCTCTTAGTAATCACAGTGCTATAAAATTATTCTTTCTCCTCTAAAATAAATGTGCATTGTTATATAATAAAAGATTAGAACTGTTCTGTCCCAAAGTATTAGTTTGGGTTTGTAGAAACTGTATTTGAGGGATTTTTTCTAGATTTAAATTTTTCTAAAGCAGTAATATTTATGAATAATTTTTAATGTATAATTTACAGGGTGATAAGATCGACAGACGGGTATGTATCATTTGTGTAAACTTAGGCATTTTCCTCTTACAGCAAGGCTTTTCTTTGTCTTGGGTTTGCTGATTGTATTTTTTAACCGCTTGTTTGAAGTTATATTCTACTCACACTTTCATGTGCCAGCAAGTTGATCTCTATCATAAGTGGCTCTATAGTTTTTCTCCTTGGGATATTGTAGTGGTTTTCCTAAGAACTGTGGGAATGACCATCTGAAGCTATACTGTGCCTCCTCCCGGGATGCTTACACTTTCAGAAATTCCTTGGTTTTGGCTTTTGGTGTTTTTTTGTTTTTGTTTTTCACCCAAGCTTGCTTCTTTATTTCCCTTAAAAACATTTCAACGGTAGTAAAATTTATGATTAATAATTTTGCCAGTAAGTTAGTCATCATATGAAAAAACTAGTGGCCCGGTGCACAAAATTCGTGCACAGGGGAGGGGGTGTTCCTCAGCCCGGCCTGCACCCTCTCCAATCTGGAACCCCTCGAAGGATGTCCTACTGCCAGTTTACAGGAATTGGGCCTAAACCAGCAGTTGGACATCCCTCTCGCAATCCGGGACTGCTGGCTTCTAACTGCTCACCTGCCTGCCTGCCTGATTGCCCCTAACCACTCTGCCTGCCGGCCTGCTCGCCCCCAGCTGCCCCCCACTGCCAGCCAGCTTGCCCCCAAATGCCCCCCCTGCCAGTCTGATCACCCCCAACTGTCCCCCCTGCTGGCTTGCTCGCCCCCACCTGCCCTCCCCACTGGCCTGCTTGCCCCCCTGCTGGCCTGCTCACTCCAAACTGCCCCCCCCCCACTGTCCTGATCACCTCCAACTGACCCCCACTGATGGCCTGCTTTCCCCCAACTGGCCCCCTGCTGGTCTGCTTACCCCCAGCGGCCCCACCCCTCACCATCCTGATCACCCACAACTGCCCTCCCCTCTTGGTCTCTAACGGCCTCTACCTCGGCCCTGCCACCATGGCTTTGTCCAGAAGAACGTCCGGAAGGTCTCCTAGAAGGTCTCCCAGTCTAATTAGCGTATTACCCCTTTATTATATAGATAGAGGCCTGGTGCATGGGTGGGGGCCCGCTGGTTTGCCCTGAAGGTTGTCCCAGATTGGGGGGGTGGGGTTTCCCTTGGGGCGTGGCGTGGCCTGGGTGAGACACCTGTGGTGATTTGCAGGCCGGCCACGCCCCCATGGGTGAGGGTCCCTGCTGGGGGGGGGCGTGGCTAGCCTGGGTGAGGGGCTGAGGGCTGTGTTCAGGCTGGCCACACCCCCTTCAGGATGGCGGGTCCCGCTGGGGTGCCTGGCCAGCCTTGGTGAGGGGCTGAGGGCTGTTTTCAGGCTGGCCAAGCCCCCCAGTGGGGACCCTCAACCCATGAGGGTGTGGCCAGCCTGGGTGAGGGGCTGAGGGCCATTTTCAGGCTGGCCACACCCCCTTCAGGGTGGGGGTCCCCGCTGGGGTGCCTGGCCAGCCTGGGTCAGGGGCTGAGGGCTGTTTGCAGGCTGTCCACACCCCCTTCAGGGTGGGGGCACCTGCTGGGGTGCCTGGCCAGCCTGGGTGAGTGGCTGAGGCTGTTTGCCAGCTGGCCACGGCCCTGGGCAACCCAGGCTCCCAGACCCTCCTTGAGCGGAGGCCACAGCACTTGGAAGCAGGTATCTGGAATTTATTTATCTTCTATAATTGAAATGTTATAGCCTTGAGCGGAGCCCACAGCTGGCCAGGGCAGGTGGGAAGCTTGGCTTCCTCCATTGCCAGGGGCAACCCAAGCCTCCTGTTCACTCCAGCTCCGTGGCTGTGGCCGTGGCCATCTTGGTTGAGTTTATTTGCATACTCGCTCCTGATTGGCTGGTGGGCGTGGCTTGTGGGTGTAGCAGAGGTATGGTCAATTTGCATGTTTCTCTTTTATTAGATAAGATGTGATGGTTTTTATATTAATTAGGTTCTTGAAAATGTACAATAGTAAGTATAATTTTGTAATTTGAAATATTTTAAATTAAATATTATGGGTTATTCTAGATATAACCCATATACTATAGCTACTATTGGGGATTAGTTTTTTATGTGTGTGTATGGTAAGTTGGGGGAAAATGTGATTTGTTGGTTTTGTTTTGTTTTGTGGAGTCTTTGGCAAAAAGAGGAGTGTACCTTAATGTTCATGTTTGGGCATATGTTCAGTTGTGGTGTGGGTAGTAATAACTGAGGTCCTGTTGGGAATTGATCTCTGTTTATGAGCATGATTTAACACATGTTAATAACTCACACACAGACATATTTGGCCTGAAGAATTTTTGATATTAGGTAAAGTATTTTATAAGTATGCATGTCAGTAATTTGAGAGGGAATTTTTTGTAGGTATAATTTACACACAGTAAAATGCAGTTAAGTGTTCAATCTGATGATTTTTGGTGGTTAAATATATATCTCTGAAACTACCACCCAAAACAATATTTATAACATATTTATAGTCCTAAAAAGCTCCATCATGCCCTTTTCTTATTAATTCTCTATCCCCAGAGGCCACCACTAGGAAATGAATCTACAGAAAATAATACTCTAGAATCTCATTTTAAAACTTTAACACTAGAATCTTAAAATATTGGCTTTTCAAATTTTTTACGAAGAATGGAAAAATACTAAACTTGAAATCCACAAAGTAGGAATAAGAGATAGTTTTATTTAGAAAATATAATAGGGGAAACATAATAGCTTATGTTGAAGATAAGATGACTCAGCCTTAATTACTTTGTTTGTGGTTCTCTTTCATCCTGTAGATTATGTGATTTCTAGTAACTAAACTGTCAGGGTGGTCTGAAATTATAATTTCAGTGTCTGTTTGTTTTTCAAAATATATTCATTTTATGATGGTACAGTGGACAAATACTGTAGCATTTTTGTACTCAGTAGTAGTTTCTTTTTCTTTTTCTTTTTCTTTTCATTTTAAAACATTTAGAAAAATAGAAAGTGGAAAGAGTATAATGTTCCTCATTCTACTACCCAAAGATAACTACTGGCAAAATTTCAGGCATTTTTTCTATACTGTTTGTTTATAGAGCAGTGTTCATATATTCCATTTTATAGTCTGTATTTTTTCTTACAGTTATTTGTCATGTTATTAAACACTAAATCAACATCACTTTCTATTATTGTATAATATTTCACCAGATTGATATACCATTGGTTAGTTAACCATAGATTAGTTAACCATCTCTTTATTTTGGATATTTAATTATCTGCCATTTACTCTGTTGTGTATCATGGTTTGGTGAACATCAGAATAATAAAATCTGCATAAAAGTGCATTATTACATAGTCCTCACTTTGCATGCTTCCAGTATGCATGAGTTTCTGTTAATGCAGCAACGCAAGGGCTGCCTATATTTCACTGAGGTAATAATAAAAAAAATTATCCCAGCAGTTAATATTATTGTTTTCTTTTTTCAGATCAGCTTTATTCTGCCATCTATTTTAAATTTGGAGCATTAGTTCTGCTTTTAATATGCTAGTTAGAGAGTCATAGAATTGCAGAGCTAGAAACTAGGATAATCGTTTATAACATTTGTAAAGCATTTACCATACACTGTTCTAAGTTCTTTACATGTATTTAATCCTTTCCACAGCTCTGTGAGATAGGTATTGACTATTGCCCTTATTTAAGGATGTGGAGGGGAAGTAAGTAAGGTTTTATGGCTATTGAGTTTAGAACCAGGATAGAAATACTGGTATCCTCCTAATGAGATCATTTAATCCAACTCCCTCTGTTACAAAATGAGGAAATTTGGGCCCACATAACATTTGGTTCTTCCAATTTCCAACCAAATGTCCTTTTTATTGATACCGTAATGCCACTCTTAGAATTAAAACTTCAGTTCTTTAAATATATATATATGTTCTTTTGAAATGGGTAATACATGGTTTAGAAATCAAAATGATACAGAAAGGTATACAATAAGAAGTCTTGGCCCCTATCCTAGTTCCCTGCCTCCTATTATTCAAATGATTTGCCAGGTAAAGGGCATTTCTTTTATACACTCAATGCTTTTTATGCATACCCACTGTTCTGCACCTTGGTTTTTTCTTTCATTTAGTGCCACTTTACACTTCCACTAGCTAAGTAAAATAAAATTGCAGTGTACTAGATTATCTGTTTCCCCACAGTCAACAGCATGGTGTCAGACTTGTATTCTTGCCAATCTGATGGGTGGTAAAAAATATTGTCTCACTGAGTTTTAATCTGCATTTCCCTTACTAAATGTTGAATCACTTTCTGTATGTTTGCACATCAGTCAAAGTTTTTCTGTGAACTCTCCTTTTTTATGGTTTATCTACCCATTTTGCTATTGGATTATTAATCCAATTTATTGTTTATATGAACTTTATTTTATATTTACGAGTTCAACCCTTGTCTGTGATAACTTACAAATATATTTTTTCCTGAGATGTCATTTGTCTTTTGACCTGAGTGTTTTGTTTTGGATTTATTTTATTTTATTTTTGTATCACTTTCCTTTTATTGTTTCTACTTTGCCATACTTAAAAGGCCTTTACCACTTCAAGATTTTAAGGAATTTGCCCATATTTTTATCTCACACTTTCTGGTATAATTTTTTTCATTTAAGTCTATGTTCCACTTTCCTCAATGTGATATGAGATATGGATCCTCTGATCTTTTTTAGATAGCTATCTAGTTCCAACATTTTTTAAGTCCATCTGTAACCCACTGATGGTTTTGTGCTGGCTATATTCATTTCTCTTTTTTATTTTTTACAGTTTCCCTAGTTATTTTTGCTTGTTTATTTTTCTATATGAACTTGAGAACCAGCTTGTTTTGTTCCAGAGGAAAAAAATCTGTTGGTATTTTTATTGGGTCACATTAATTTTCTAAATTTTATTAATTTTATAAATTAATATAGACTTAATATCTTCATAGTCTTGAGTTTTTCTATCTAAACATGGTTTCTTTCTGTTGATTTGTATCTACTTTCGTGCTCTTTAGGAATGGTTTTAAATTTTCCTAGGTTAGGTTTTACAGTTTTAATTAGGTTCATTCTTGTGTACTTTGTATTATTTTGTAACTATAATAAAGGGGATATTCTATTCTCTCTTAGTTATGTTTGACTTTGCTCTTCGTATCCTTCAATTAGACCTCTAAGAACATACTTCTAGAAGATTCAAACTTGAATCTAATTGCACATTTGTTCACTCAGACATTAGCCAGTGATTTGTTAGGAAGCCTTTGTATATATGAAATAGGTGTATTTGGCACCTACAAATGGAGTTCCAAGTAATACTAAACTTTTTATATATAACCAGAGAAAATCAATAAAACATTTGCATCTATGACTTGAGTAATTAGGTTTAAGTTCTCTTAGGCACAGAGTCGATTGAGAATAAGTGTATATATTTTAACTTTTCAATTTACTTGGGTAACATGAAGATATATTATGGGCATAGTAAAGTCATAGAGGCAAGGAAAAATAATTCATGTGAAAATTAAATTCATGCTAATTAATGCTTACTTGGCAAATCATTTGAAGAGGTCTAATTTAAATTTGTTTAAGTGTACTAGAAAATAGATTATAGAAAGGCCAAGATATTGACATCAAGACTCATTAAATTAGAAATTTATTGCTAGAAATTTTCAAAACGTGATGGTTGTTATCTTAAATTCATAGTTCTCTAGATCTTTGAATAATTATATTATGGTTATTTTCTGAAATTGCTCCCAAAAGTAATACATTACTGTGCCAATATCCATTATTTTGTTTCAAAAAGTTTTGTTTCACTTAATAAAAATATATAGGTTACATAATATAATATCGGCTGTGAAGATGTTATCAGCAAACAGAATTTCCCACAAAGCAGATATAAATCTGTTGTATCAAAATTTAGAAAACTATAATTTGGATGGATAGGTTAGTGTTCAGTATTGTTTAATTATACTTTGCAGCACTGTAGTTAGTGATTTGGGGCACTTAGCTAACTTACATAAATCTTTTTCTCCTTCATTGTTTGTGATTTTTTATTATCTATCATTTTGTCTGAGTTTGTAACATGGCTTGTTTATTTTTCTGTTAGAGAATATATTCTTTAATGGAACTTAACTAAATAATTCAGAAGATTATTTCTTTGTATTTTTCTCAGTGTTTTTTGAAGGAAGTAGAATTTGTCCTTCTACTCGAAACTTGTTTTTAAATTTTTAATTGAAACATCAAAACTTTATCTGGCTAATTAACTTTTTTATAAAGTGACTTAGGATTGATACATTTTTTAAAGCATCTATATCATACACTTCTTCCTTAGCAGACCAGGTTTTTCCACTAATAGTATTTTAGATAACCCAATATATGCTTAAGAACATGAATAAGTTCTGATTCCTTACTTTTCATTTCTTACTGTGCAGGACAGCTCATAGAAGACACAAGAATGCATTCTCTTGTTCAATTTTTAAAATCTGGATTCCTGACACATCTTTTATAAGATGTTAAATATGTTTTTATGCAAATGGGGAAGAATATTAGGGCAACTTTAAATTTGAAAAAAAGTAAAATGGGGTTTCTGCCGACTTATCTATTTCAGGGAAGCAAAATACAAACAAGAGTTGGACTACTGATGTTGCTTTGTACCTGGCTAAGTAACTGTCCGATTGCGGTAACACATTTTCTTCACAATTCAGCCAATGTTCCATTTGTATCCTTTATACTGTTGTAAGATACATAAATAGTTATCATTGTCATTTTTATTTTTTCCTCTCAGTTCAAAGTAGCTCTATGCCCCAAATATTTGAATTTTCTTTATTTGAACTTTTTAAACTGTTAAAGTGGTTAATGGCGCTTGCTTAAGCTGTGTGTGTGTGGGTGTGTGTGAGTGTTTGCTAGGACTATATAGAATTTCTTATGAAAACTTATATGAACTACATGTCAAATTCAAATTATAAAATAAAATACTGTAGATACTTTGAACAATTAGTCTCCTTAACAAAGATTTCAGCTTACAGGACAAATTGCAGAAAATCTTGGAGAGGAAGAGCAGTTGGTCCAAGGCTTATGTGCCCTTCTGTTGGGCATTACTATTTATTTCAATGATAACTCACTTGAGAACTACATGAAGTAAGTAAGGGGGAAATGCTAGGATAAATGACTTATTAATATTATCAAAAGAAAATGATAAATATTTTTGTGCCAAAGTATAATATAAACCAAGTTTTTATGTTTCATCATGACTTTTTTTAAGCATCTCAATATGCTTATCTCTGTAGAGAGAAACTAAAACAACTAATAGAGAAGAGGATTGGCAAAGAGAATTTCATAGAGAAACTAGGATTTATTAGCAAACATGAGTTGTATTCCAGAGCATCTCAGAAACCCCAGCCCAACTTTCCCAGCCCAGAATACATGATATTTGATCATGAGTTTACAAAGCTGGTAAAAGAACTTGAAGGTAAGATAAGGACTTTTATATTGGTACTTTTATTAGAAAGTACCTATGATTATATTGTATATGCATATTCTGGTCATGTGCAGATTTTATAAGCTTAAAAGTGGGGTTTTTTTTCCTGCTCTTGATGTGTAGCCCATTGAAGGGTTTTCGGCCTTCAGTAAGATTGGAAAGATTATTTCTTTCTCATGCAGTTAGGCCATATGTTTTTACTGATTAATTCTTAATAACATAGTATTTTAAATGTTTAAAATAAATTTTAAATAAGCTTCCTTTTATAGGTGTGATAACTAAGGCTATTTATAAGTCAAGTGAAGAAGATAAAAAAGAAGAGGAGGAGAAGAAAACATTAGAACAGCATGACAGTATTGTGGGACACTACAAAAATATGATTCGAGAGCAGGTGCGTACTGATAAATACACTCTCTGACATACTGATACTTTTCTACTTTAGAAAAGAGTTTTTCCTGGCATTTCAAATGTAAGAGGATACAGAAAGTAAAACACGCTGTTTTCCTAAATAATTCAAAAGCATCTGAGTATTCAATAAACTGAGTATTCATATGTCTTAAGCAGTATGCAGGATGTGAATAAAGACATGAGTCAGACATGTTTCCCTATCACAGTCTCATGGGGAGACAAACCTATAAATAGATTATGACACATGGATTATAATATACTAGAGGCCCAGTGCATGACATTCGTGCACTGGGGGCAGGGCATCCCTTAGCCTGGCCTGCATCCTCTCGCTGCTCCTTAGCACTACCTCAGAGGCGAGAGAGGCTCCCACCTTCTGGCTGAGCGGCACTCCCCTGTGGGAGCGCACTGACCACCAGGGGGGCAGCTCCTGCATTGAGCATCTGCCCCCTGGTGGTCAGTGTGTGTCATAGCAACCAGTCATTCTGCCGTTTGGTCAATTTGCATAATAGGGTTTTATTATATAGGATTAAGTCCAGTGATAAGAGATAATCAAAGCTGTATGGCAGCACTGAGAGGCACCTAATTTAGCTAAGTAGGAGCAGAGGCTTCAAGAAAACAGAGAAGCTGAGCCCCAAGAGGATGGCCAGGAGTAAGCTAGGCAAAAGGAGAGAGAAGAAAGAGTCAAGAGATGTAACTGGCATATAGATAGAACATTTGGTAGCTGTATAAAGGAGGCAAGGCTTGAAGGAGGGAGCCCAAGAAGGAGGTGGTTGTGGTGGGCTAGGGGAGGAAATTGGAGCACTGATGATGGCGATGATGATAATGGCTGCTGGTTTTTGTTTGCTGTGTTCTAGGTAATCACTAAGCACATTTTAAACACAGTCCATTGCTACAAAGTAGTTAATGTCTTCGGTTTAGCATAAATGAGGAATCTGTGACAGAGAATTTAACCTGTCCAGGGTCACTCCGTGAATGGTGGAACAGAATTCAGATACATGTGTTACTGGGACTCTAAAGCTCATACTTTGTGGTATAGAGTCAACCTGAAAAAAGGTGAAAACTAAGGAAGATAAAACTGGTAGGACTTGGTAATGATTGGATGCAGGTGTGAGGAAGCATAAAGGGTCAAATAAGATCTTTAGATCACTGTCTTACACAATTGGATAGCTGATATTGAGTTAGATAGAATAGGGAACAAGAAAGGGAGCTGATTTATTAGAGTGGGTAATTATGAATTTAGTTGAAATTACATTTTCAAAATCATCAATTGACATTTTCTTTTCAGGATACCAAAGAAGCTCCCATTTGCATTGTGTTGAGCACCATCAATCTTCCATTGCTTTTCTTAAAAATGTTTCTTAGTTTTTTCTTTCAGTTAATTCCTCATCCTGGTACCTTGATTGGAATCCTAGAAAGTGCTGTACTGGTATTAATATCTGGAAAATGAGATTATTGATGTTGTTAAAATCCCAGTGTCATAAATTCCAGTACACTGGTGGCAGGTCATGTGGGCCAGCCCTCAACTCCTGCCATTGTGCACAGCCTGAGGCATGTGTGGCAAGTAAGAGCTTGGATGGAGCCCTCTAAATGACAACTGCCTGTGTGTGTTTTTCTTCCCCATAGTCTATTCTTGAGATTGAAATTGTAAGAAAGAATAAAAATCTATTTATGTAAAAGCTTAATATGCTACTAGTAAGTGTCTGACCCAGCAGTCAACCTTTTGGTCCACCGCTCGACCAGTCGCTATGATGCACACTGACCACCAGGGAGCAGACGCTCTGACCGGTAGGTTAGCTTGCTGCTGGGGTCCAGCCGATTGGGACTGGGCAAGATGGGCTGGACACGCCCTGGAGCCCTCGTGCTGTCCCTCCCCAGCCAGCCAGCCCCCATCGCCCCAATTGTCCCCAATCACCAGCCAGGCCAGGGACCCCACCTGTGCATGAATTCTTGCACCGGGTCTCTAGTTGTGTTATATTTATGGTTCAGTCTGAGCCTTTCGTGTATGAGCAAATCAGTAAATTAGAATCAACCTTGAATGATCCAAATTTGGATTATTAAACTACCCATGGTTATTAGGATTTTTCATCTACATCTTAGTACGAATATGTAATGTCTTTAGAGCACTAGAAAACAAATACTTGGAATGTGATGTGATAGCCTTTGAAGCTGATAAATATGGTTGATTTGGAAGAAAAAAAGAGTGATTTGACACAGTTACTTAAAATGACTTTTCTTGAGAAATGTTTCTTTTAAATATTTACACCATTTATTTTTTTTTTTAAATATATTTTATTGATTTTTTACAGAGAAGAAGGGAGAGGGATAGAGAGTTAGAAACATCGATCAGCTGCCTCCTGCACGTCCCCCAGTGGGGATGTGCCCGCAACCAAGGTACATGCCCTTGACCGGAATCGAACCTGGGACCCTTGAGTCCGCAGGCCGATGCTCTATCCACTGAGCCAAACCGGTTCGGCAATATTTACACCATTTAAAATGCTAGTTGAGCCCTAGCTGGTTTAGCTTAGTGGATAGAGTGTCGGCCTGCAGACTGGAAGGTCCCAAGTTTGATTCTGGTCAAGGGCATGTGCCTGGGTTGTGGGCTCGATCCCCAGTAGGGGGTATGCAGGAGGCAGCCAGTCGATGGTTCTCTCTCATCATTGATGTTTTCATCTCTCCCTCTCCCTTCTTCTCTGAAATTAATAAAAATGTATTTTTAAAAAGCTTTTAAAAAATAAGTAAAAATAGAATAAAATGCTATTTAACAATTAGGCAATAAGCATAGAGAACTATAAAATGTTTATATACACTTTGACATTTGAGAATCCATCCTAAGGAAATTCTCCAAAATTCAGGACAATTATATGGACTAACATATTTATGGTAATAAATTTACCATATAGAGAAATGGAAAGTGGCCTCAGTGTTGCTTTTGAATATAAATCATAGTACATCTACTGATTAGATATTAAGTGAGCATTAAAAATTATGATCGTGGCCCTAGCCTGTTTGGCTCTGTGGTTAGAGCATCAGCCCCTGGACTGAAGGATCTCGGGTTCCATTCCTGTCAAGGACACATATCTTGGTTGCAGGCGGGGCACATGCGGGAAACAACCAATTGATGTGTCTCTCTCATGTCGATGTTTCTCTCTGTGTGTCTCTCCCCCACTTTTCCACTCTCTTTAAAAATTAGTGGAAAAAATATCCTCAGATAAAGATTAACAAAAAAAAATTATGATTATGAAACTGTTAGCAACATGGGGAAATTATGAATGAATAGTCAGTAAATTAAAGGTTACAAATGTTCTTTTACATGATTGTCTTTAATGTGAAAAGTAATATAGGTGCATATGTATAATACATATACTACCTTTTTTAAGTAGTTTGGTTTAAATTTCTTAAATGATTTGATGGACCATAAAATGGAATTTTTCAAATTGACCCTCCTCACTCCCAATAATTGCAGACAGGTTGCAGGATGTATGATAGTGCTTCTTCATGGGGTTTTATGTTAACTGGACTTGGTGCATATACTGCCTAATTATTGAACGGTTTTGGAGTGTTGAGTACTTTAACATCCTGACCCAAAGTAATCGTTTTTAATTTGTTCACCTTCTTAATGCTAATTGGTTTGAATTTACAACACTTGAATTATGTTTTGTTTCACAGGATCTGCAACTTGAGGAATTAAAGCAACAGATTTCTACATTAAAATGTCAAAATGAACAGCTCCAAACAGCAGTCACACAGCAAGTATCTCAGATTCAGCAACACAAAGATCAGTATAATCTTCTTAAAGTACAGCTAGGTACGTGTAGTTGGCCATCACTGTTGCAGTGTCCCCAAGAGTTGTCCAACACAGTCAAACAGATTATTTTTGTAGACTAGTCTTTCTTTAATCTTAAATCAATCACTGTGACAAACATGTAAATCAGATTTTGAAGTTCAGCCTCCTTGCTACTTGTTTGATTTTCTGGTGCATTGACTTTCAGCCTTTGGGTGTACATTAGAATCTCCTGAGTTTTGGGGGGGCGGGGGTTGTTTTTTTGTGTGTGTGTGTTTTTTATATAGCACCAGTACTTATCGGATGGGTACTGGATTTATCAGGGTGATCACTTGTAAGTTATATAAATGTCTAATCACTATATTATACACTGAAACTAACACAATATTGTATGTCAACTATAATTGAAAAATATAAAATATTTTATTTATTTATTTTTAAAATATATTTTTATTGATTTTAGAGAGGGAGAGAGAGAAAGGTAAAAACATCAGTGATAAGAGAATTATTGATCGGCTGCCTTCTACACGCCCCCTACTGGGGATCGAGCCTGCAACCTGGGCATGTGCTCTTGACCGGAATTGAACCCGAGACCCTTCAGTCCGCAGGCTGACACTCTAACCACTGAGCCAAACCAGCTAGGGCTGAAAAATAAATATTTTAATTAAAAAATAAATAGCACCAATACTGAGACCTTACTGTGTTTCTGATTTAATTTGTCAGGTTTGGGTCCATGCATCAGTAATTACTACAGGCTCATCCCCAGGTGATTCTAATGTATAACCAGTTAAAAATGACTGGTCTAGCCCAGCCAGCATGGCTCAGTGGTTGAGTGTCGACCTATGAACCAGGAGGTCGAGGTTCAATTCCTGGTCAGGGCACATGCCTGGGTTGTGGTCTCAATCCCCAGTCGGGGGCATGCAGGAGGCAGCCAGTCAATGATTCTCTCTCTTCATTGTTGTTTTTTTTTCTCTCTCTCTCCCTCGCCCTTTCTCTCTGAAATCAATGAAAATATTTTTTATTTTTTTTTTAAAAAAAGATGACTGATCTAATTTTTTTATTTCCTTGTCTACAAAGTTGAGCTGATAAAGGCATCTGGGTCATTTTGGAATTAAATGAAATAATATTAGTAAAATTCTAGTTCAGTGCCTGGCACATGGTAAGAGCTCCAATTCTTGTAAATAGTATCATCACCCTGTAGTGCTTATGATAGGAATGTTAGCTACTTAGAAATGTAGTTTGTTTATATCAAAGTGATTAAAATTTTCAGAAAAATTACCTATTTTACTTCCTTTATTTATGACAATAATTTGTCAGTTATTTTAGTCCATATAGAAGGCTATTCCTTTCAGGACATTTTTTTTAAGGGATTTCATTTTCTCTTATGTTGGCAGAATTAGAATTGAAACTAGTATCATTTATAATCTTAGATCACCAAACCATGCAGTTTAGTCTTAATAAGACTATTCTGCTTTTCTCCCAGAAACCCTGAAAATATCATTAGTTCATTATTTTTATCAACACACTATTTTGCAAAAATGAAATGTGCTTACAAAAGTGCTGCCAAACTAAATTAAGCAAATTATATATTTATATTTGAATCTTCTAATTCAAAAAATGAAAAACTTAAGTTTTGTGCTGGCTTTTCACATTTTATGCTTGTCTAATAGGAAAAGACAATCAGCATCAAGGTTCTCACAATGATGGGGCTCAAATGAATGGCATTCAACCAGAAGAAATTGGTAGGTTGCGAGAAGAGATAGAAGAATTAAAAAGTAATCAGGAACTTTTACGAAGCCAACTGGCCGAAAAGGACTCTTTGATTGAAAAACTGGTAAGTAAGTGTTAAAAATTTTTAAAAAAGAGGTCAAGAGTAATCTTCATTATCTTGCTTTTTTTTTTTCTGGATCCCTTAAGCCAAAGTATCATAATAAGATTTTAGAATATGAGCTGTGTCAGACTGTCTGAAGTTTCACTGCTTCCTAGCTAATTGACTGTAAGCAATTTAACTATGAAAAAGTGGTAGACAGTATGTGGTATCTTGAAATTTTATCAAAATTAAAATGTTGGGCCCTGACCAGGTGGCTCAGTTGGTTGGAGCATCGTCTTATATGCCAAAACGTTTAGGGTTTGTTTCCCTATCAAGGCACATACATGTAGGTTGTGGGTTCGATCCCTGGTTGAGGCACTTGAGGAAGGCAACCAATCGATGTTTTTCTTTCACATCAATGTTTCTCCCTTACTCTCTCTCAGGTGAGGATTTAAAAAAAGAAAAACATTAAAATGTTGGTATGAAATTTTTTGGTAAAGATTTACATGTACAATTCTGTTTTGTTTTGTTTTCCTATCTCTTTAGAATGAATTTATTTCATAATTTATTTTTATGCTATTTGTAGAAATCTTCCCAAACATCCCCAGACACAAATGAAGCAACAGCTTCTGCTAGAGATTCTGAAAATATTGCAGAATTAAAACAGGTAATTGTCCAGCTTGATCCAAGTTCTGTTTTGTCTTGTTTTAATTATGATAGAATAGCCACCTTTCAGTTCTATTAATCTAGAGCTACTTTGTGTTGTGCGAGCAAAAACTGATAGTGATGAAAGCCATATGCAAATCCAGAAGCTGTTGTAATTATATGGTAATGGTATTTGCTTGTTATTGTGTTTTTTTAATTTTTTAATGGTGTTCTTTTTAAGAGATCTCAGCATCTCACCAGATTATTTGTAGATTATCAGTGAACTAAATTAAGGAGAACATAATTATGTTTATAAGCTACAAATATCTATACTAATAAAGAGCTAATTTGCTAATGGTCAATAACGTTCTAACTGTAACGACCAGGTCATTAGCATATTAGCTGGGGCGTTGCTGGAGACGGGTGGAAGCAGGGAGGCGCCCGGAGGGGGCGGGACTATCCCATGCCGGGGAGGGCAGGGGTGAGAGCCCATAGCACCCCCCTCACCAGTCCTTCGCCACCCACCGCTCGCACTCTGAGTGCCCGCGGCCCACCTGCCAGGGGAAGGAGCACAGTGCAGCAGGCGGGAGGCTTCCATGCTCTCCTCTAGCGCCATGATGGGGTGGAGCCGCAGCGTTGGTCCAGAGAAGGCTAGGAAGCAGGGAGGCGCCCAAAGAAGGCGGGACCAGCCCTAGGCGACTTGAGGGACTGAGGGCGGGGCTTGAAGCAGCCAGAGAAGGCCAGAGGGTTTGGGGGCTGGGCCAGGTGTGCTGGAGCTCTGCGTGGACAGGTTCGGGTGTCAAGGTAGGGCTGCAGGTGGGTGGGTGGCACCGTGCGATGTCACACGCTGGGCTCCTAGTGAAGTTATAAAATCTTATGCCTAATTTATACAGTATTGACCATGATAATTGCTTTCTTAAGAGTGTTGGTTATTTAAACCTTTCTGTCCAAAAAAAATATTGGTTTTTAGAATTGAAAAGAAAAAAACGGGAGGTAAACTTGTGTGTATGTCCTGAAAATAGACATTTCCTTGATGAGTTTACACCGCAAATGTTTTTTCTCTCTTAGGAACTGGCAACATTAAAGTCTCAGTTAAACTCAAAATCTGTGGAGATCACCAAACTACAGACAGAAAAGCAGGAGCTGTTACATAAAACAGAAGCATTTGTAAGTTAGTTAATTTTTTTTTCTCCTGAAAAATAGAAAACACAAGGTTAAGATGTTGTTTCTCAACCACTGTGGAAAAGAAGCAAATTTGTCAAAAATTCACTTCCCTTTAGCCAGAGTTCTAGTCATATCTGCTTCTTGTCCGTGGTGGCAGTCTCAATGTTATAGTCAGACTCAGCCAGTCAATTTAATCAGATACTTAGTGGTTCATTTTGCTGATATTTGTATTTCATCCTGTGTCTGTACCGTCAGTCAAGTTAGGTTTACTGCTGGTATAAAATTGTGAGAAACCTTGTCGAGAACCCATGCAATTCACAGGGGTCCAAGCCATCAGACAGGAAGGCCCTCCTGGATAACCACCTCTCTGTTCTGGCTTCTGCTGAGTGGTTGATTGGATCAATGAGTCACACATGCAACCTCTTTACAAATGGTTGTCCAGCCACCCCCTTGATGTTTCACCAGAATATGCCTTGTCATTTATTGCAATAGAGATAGGCTGATGATTTTCTAAATTTTTAAATTCTCATTACCTTTTGCTTAACAATTTCTTCAGTTTCTGTCTCTCCTCACATTTTATTTTAAGCAGCAAGGAACTAGACCATGCCCTTGACACTTTGCTTAGAAATCTCCTCACCTAAATGTCCTCGTTCATCACTTACAAATTCTACTTTCCACAGAACACTAGACATAATTTAGCCAAGTTCTTTGTCACTTTATAACAAGAACTAGAGGCCCAATGCACGAAATTCGGGCAAGAGTAGGCCTTCCTTCCCCCGGCTGCCGGCACTGGCTTCCCTCTGGCACCCAGGACCCGGGTTTCCCTTGCAGACCCGGCTTTGTCCGGAAGGACATCTGGTCTAATTAGCATATTATGCTTTTATTATTATAGATTGCCTTTCCTCCACTTTCCTGATTTCCATCTCAGACCTCAGCCAAAACCACTTTAACATCCATATTCCTATCAGCATTCTGTTCATGATGATACTCATTTTCTCTATGAGCTGCAAAAACTACTGATGTAGAAGGAAGGCTGTCGGCATTATTACAAGAGACTAAAGTGGAAGCTTTCTCTACAGCTCTCCTTTTTTCTTTCTGAGCCCTGACCAGAATTGCCTTTAATGACCATATTTCTGCCAACAATCTCTTCAAGGCATGTACGCTTTGTCTAACATGCACCTGAAAACTCTTCCAGACTCTACCAATTCTAAAGTCCTTTACACATTTTTAGATATTTGCTATACCAGCACCTCACTTCCCAATATTTTATAGAAAAAAAGGTGGGGAAAGACTGAAAAACTGATTTAAGAATACCTCCTATAGCTCTTAAGAAAATACTTACATTTCACTAGTTAATGGCATTCAGCTCAGTGTTCCCACCTACCTCTCTGAGATGATAGTGTCAATGAAACTTACAGGAATTTTATGAGGAAACGGCTTTGAAAACTATTCCCTGCTAGTAAATGCTGTGTTACAGCTACGTGAGAGCTGTTCTGTTGGTTGCTTTCCTGGTGTGACCTTGAGGCAGCTTCACCCAGCCTTCCTCATCCTCTGCTGAGATCGGTGCCCCCCCGCCCCCCCCGCTCTTGTCTTCTGCTTACTGTAGGGATCACTCTTCTTTCTAGGGAGAGCACTTTATTCATGTAAATATGTGAGGGAATTACATTTTCTGTTATTGGAAATAAAATTTTAAAATAGCAAGAAAATTAAGTCACCTTTGGGGTTTCATATTGATCATAACTTTAAAGAAACTGTTTTTTCCCCTAATTTCTACTTTCAGGCACAATCAGTTCCTGTATCAGGAGAGAGTGAAGCTGCAATAGCTGCAAAAACTACTGATGTAGAAGGAAGGCTGTCGGCATTATTACAAGAGACTAAAGAGTTAAAGGTTGGCTTTGGTGAAACTTTTATTTACTGTATATTATATGAAATGAACTCCAGGAAATTAGAGTTTATTCACTTAATTTCTCAAATCCTTAGATTTATGAAGAAAGCTAATGAGGTGTAATGTTATCTTACAGTCTTTATATTCTGTTACCCAAAATGGCACAAATGAAGATTTTTTAAATGCTTTTTCAAATAATTATACCAAATATGTAAAGTAAGAATACATCAGAATGTACTTTGAAAGTGAAAATAGTTTTCTTATCAGTCTCTAATCACAATAAGAAACAGGAATGCAAGTTTGGCTAATACACAAGCCACGTGTAAGCTTTTCATAGGCCAAAGAACACGGGCACATGAAATCCTGCAGCCCATTGTGCGACATAGAAACCAGAATAAAGAATAAAAGGAAGGAATGAGGTGGTAGTAAAAAAATAAATAAATAAAAGGCATGCAGGAAAAAAATGGGAAAAGGAGGATAATGTGTAATTATGCGTTTTGGATTATGGTCAAATTATTTTTAAGCCATTGGTTTTGCTTGAAGCTATTTTTTTCTGCCTTTAATTGTATGTATAAAGTTGGGATGAAATTTTTTTTTAAAACTTTAGTTCTAATTCTGATGCTAACCAGGCTTCTGCTATAAAATTTTTTGTGTGTTTATTCCTCTGATTATCTGAAATGGTATTGTCTCTTAGGATTTATTGAGGAATAACTGATTAAAAATATTTTTTTGATGTTAAACTGTATTTTTCACAGTAACCATCTTTGATGTATAACCTAACATAAATTCTCATGTTACTGGATGAGTGTATGTTTTAAGTGTCCTATCACCCTGACCAGGTTGCTCAGAGCGTCGTCCCAATCCTCCAGGGTTGCGGATTCAATCCCTGGTCAGGATACATACAAGAAGCAACCAATGAATGCATAAATAAGTGAACCAACAAACCTAACAAACTGACATGTGTCTCTGTCTCTCTCTCTCTCTCTCTCTCTCTCTCTTGCCCCGCCCCCTCTTCTCTCTCTCTAAAATCAATAAATAAAATTTTAAAACAAAACAAACAAAAAAACCTCTACCCTTAAACTCCTTAGATTGGACAGATACAGTGATTTATCATAGAAAGAACCTACTTGTTTAAAACCTTCGGAGAGTTAATACTAATTTTAGATTCGTGATTTTCACCTTTCTTTTCCTAGAATGAAATTAAAGCACTGTCTGAGGAAAGAGCTTCTATTAAAGAGCAGCTGGACTCATCTAACAGTACCATTGTCATTTTACAAAATGAGAAAAACCAGCTGGAGGTGAACATTAAAGATTCTAAAAAAGAACAAGATGATCTCTTGGTGCTGTTGGCTGATCAGGATCAGAAAATATTGTCATTAAAGGATAAACTCAAGGGACTCGGTCATCCAGTAAGATTGAAATGTTTCTCAAAATGTTATATATTATCTTTCTTTATAATGTATTTTTAAAATTATATTGTACCATGGAAATATTGTGCCTATATATCTAGAATACAGGCATAGATACGTTAGGTACATGAATTCAGTATCATCTATACAATGTTCACCGAGTTGACTTAAGATGCAGATTGGGCAGTTTTCAGCATTTGTTAACTGTTCTCTTTTGGGCTTTGAGCCTAGAGAGTGAATTAATTTGATTGTTCCTGTCATAACAAGACTCTTATCACCCATATGTGGCATTCTGTTTTGACTTGTTTGGTTCAGGTGAGAGTTATAGCCATCTGTAGGCCAGTTAACCTATATGTCTCATCTCATATTAAAAATGGCAGAGCAGTCAGGGAGAGGACAATGGGGGGGCGGAGGGGGGGGAGGATACTTATGTAATACTTTAAACAATAAAGAATTTGAAATGAATGAATGACAGGAGCCTTAAGCATTAAAGCAAGGAAATCAGATAGTGTATAACCTGGTATACTTATGGGAATAAAGAATTTATCAATAGATATATTATGTATTGAATGTGAAGTGAGAAGTCTTCATAATGTTAAATGTTTATTTTCTAATTAGGAGGAAGAAGAGGATGAACTTGAATCCATAGACCAAGATGATGAGGATGATGAAGATGAAGATGATGACAAGAGCCAGGGTGATAACTAGCTTTAAATTTTCTAGGAATGATAGAGATCTAATCGTAACTTTGAACATGGAGTCTTAAGAGAGTGCTTTGGTTTGCCTCCACAATAAAACTTAAACCAAGTGGGAAACATTCACTAATAAGACTATCAATGTATTTTTTTAAACAACGCCTCCCATGTTGAAAACCCTTAAAACTCTTAACTTTATGCAGAACACACATCCTTTATTGAAATTCATCTGAGCTGTCCCAAAATATAATTTTTAAAGAGCTCCAGACACCAAAAATATACCATTTTAAGGCATATGATGGCAATGCCATTTGCCTTAGTTCATTGGTTACATAAGTTCTGTCTTTGTCTATTATTTTCACTTTTCAGAATTTGTGACTTTAAGTACTAACACATTAGATTTAATGTGTATTGGAATCACTGTTTCTAAATTCAGTATTGGAGTTCTTAGCTATTGATTTCCTTTTAAAGAAATGAAGTTACTTAAAGGCAAGATAGTGTGGGCAGGAGGTGGGGGAATAATATATCATCAGCCCTCCATCCAGTACTGCTCCTGTGTTGAGCAGGACAGGACAGTTTAGAATGAGTGCCTTGACACCTGATACGCTGCATTCTGTGCCTCAGCAAAGACTGAGAAGGATACTGACACAGCCATAAGGAAAGCGCTTCTGAGCAACTTTTGCAACAGTGTAAGCATGTGGTTGGTTTTGGTTTTAAGCTAAATGTTAAAATACAAGTTAACCACTCACACAACTCAGATTTAATATTGTTGTTTGATTATTATAAAACATATTATGTTCCTAGTGTTAAAAAGACCCAGACTATGATTTATGTAATTTATTGGCATTTTTGCTGAATAGATTTAAGTCAGATAATAGATTTTTAAAAAGCAAATGAAGCAATGTGTCAAAATTTAATGTTTTCGTAATAAAAATAGATATTATGGACACTTAATCCCTGGTCATCGTTTCCTTTCCTCTCAGATTTTGAGAGAAGTATTCTTCAAAAAAGATAAGGCAAGTGGAAGTAGAGTAAGTACATTACTGTACCTGATTGTTAAAAGCAGTCTGATTCAGAACTAATGATTAGGATTGCCTAAGGTTGGAGGAACTGATTGGAGCAGAAGTAGAAGAGGTTGGAGAAGGTTTTAAATGTTCCTAAATTGAGTATTAGAGGTCTTGGCAACGGTTTTCCTTTAAACAAGTAGTTTTACTTAAAGGCAAGACAGATATATCATCTGGCTTCTGGCCTCAGGAATCATTTGAGTAGTCCACCAAGGGACACAAACTTTTGAAAGAGAAGAAGCGTCTTTGCATGTTTTGAAAAAGGAGATGGTTATGTGTCACAGAGCATTTGTGAACCAGCACGTGCCCCATGTCCCCTCCCACCGCTACCAACACATCCTGAGGACCTTGTCATCAGATAACACATGACTATTACCGGACCAGCTCAAGCTGTGTGACGTCATGCTAAAGTTGACACCCGTAATAAACAACTGGTTAATGACTTCATTTCAGGCTAATAAAATGGGTCAGGAGTAAGAATGAGACTTCCATAGATAATGGGATACCAAAGATCTACAGAAAGAAACATCTGCAAAACCACTGATAGTTTGCCAACTGTCAGTCACTCAGGCTGCCCTGGAGTAGAGAAGACACGAGACCTCGAAGCTGCACATTCCAGCCTGGAGCCCAAAGGGACCTCTTCCTAACCATACCATAGCGTTTTGTCGGGATTGCTCTGGAGACTTCTAAACTTGTCTCTCTCTGCCTCCAGTCTGGTTGTGGCCTCTACCACAGCCTCCCATCATCCTTCATATTCACCACAGGAAGCTTTCTAAAATGCAGATGGGAGAAGAGAAGAGAAGAGATTGTGGTTGCCTGCTGTTTGGATCCTTAGCCAGGTGTGTTAGGGTCCTTTGTGCTCTCCATCTTTATCTCCAAGTATATTTTAGAACCATTCCAAAATACTTGCTGGTACAGCAAATATCCTGCTTTTTCAACCCTCACTTTGCTTTTGCACATCCTCTTTCCTCTGCCCATTTGTCAGCCCTCTCATTAAAGGCTGTTTTTCTATGTATTGAGAGCTACAACAGTGGAGCGGTCATCATAAAGCATAAAATATATTTGTCTTCATGATTTGAAATTTTATTCAAGAGTTTACACCTCTAGAATCATCATCCAGAGTTACTATGAAAGGTAAAATAATAGCTCATGTTTGGGGGGTTTTTTTATTAATATATTTTTATTGATTTCCCAGAGGGAAAAATAGAAACATCAGTGATAAGAGAATCATTGATCAGCCACCTCCTGCACACCCCACACTGGGGATAGAGCCCACAACCCTAGCATGTGCCCTGGCCAGAAATTGAACTATGACCTGGTTCATAGGTCCTCACTCAACCACTGAGCCACACAGGCTGGGCATAACTCATGTTTTAAAGGATACTAGTCTAAAATTATGCTGATTAAAAAATCAAACCCTTAAGTTTAAAAGTTTTGTTGCAGCCAGGTAAGGGCCTCTTACCTGTATTGTAACAGAAAAATTAGTTCATCCCATGAATATTGAGTGTATGATGTGCTGGGCACTGCTGTAGACACTGGAGATACCATAGTTAGTGAATAAGACAAGAATAAGGTAAATGTCTTCCTGAAATGACTCAGATTCTGAAGGAGTAAACAAGTACGGAAGACAATGTGGGGTGCTTTGTATTTTCTGGAAAGGCGTTTGCATCTTATCCTGAGCTTGATGGGAAACCAGAGGACTGGTTAGAGTTGATTTCTCTTTCATCGATGATTCTTTGTTGAGAATAGTCTAGGGCAGCAATTTTCAACTGGTGTGCCGCACGAATTCTAAAAACATACAATACCGTACTATTTAATCAGGGGTACTGACCTCTTTTCCCTTAGATAGTAAAATTTAAAAATGACAGCAGCCAACAAAATAATAGCTGTCCGGTGAGAATCAAAATTGTAGCTTTTCTTTTTCTCAGATTGGCAAAAAATATATTTTTAGGTGTGCCACAGAATTTTAGTAATTAGTTTATGTGCCATGAGATGAAAAAGTTGAAAACCTCTGGCCTGGGGGTCGGGGGAGGCTATTGCCATCATCTAAGCAAAAGCAGGTGTAGTCACTACATTGTAGGGGTAGAGGTGTCTAAAGTGGTAGGATTTGGGATATATAGGGTGTCCCAAAAATGTATACACACACTTTGAATGATTATAAAGGCAGTATTTATTAAAATACATTTAATTTTAAAAATTGAGCTAAGCTGTTAAAGTGTGTATACATTTTTGGGGGCAGTTGAAAATTGCTGCCCTAGACTATTCTCAACAAATACAGCTTTTGGACAACACAGTTTGTTTATATTAAATGAACAATGACATCATCTCACCCCAGAGCAAATTTGAGCCTTGGAATTAAGTGGAAAACTGAGAAAGCAATGACCTTTGAACTGATTTGCTACTGCAATTTTGGAAAAGTAAAACTTAATTATTTTATATACTGCTTGAATGAAACTTTATTCTGTTGATGCAGACTGGTTCTTTATTAGTGAATCTAAACCTGATTTTGATAAATCTGCCCTACCAACCAAATAGGAGATATAAGTATTTGAAGAAAATGTTCGTTTACAATCGCATATCATTTGAAACATTTTTAATGCAAGTTATTTTATCAAATTGTCCTATTTTATCAAATTGCCTCTCTTGTGGATTAGTGACTTGCTTCTCTGCCAGAAACTCTAAAGATAAGTTATTCTTGCAATTTTGTATGTCTGCAACTCAGAAAATTTAGGATTTCCTATAACTTTTCAAAATGAAAATTGAGCCAAAGGGAAAACCTTAAGTGACACATATCTATCTTAAAGTGTGGTTTCCCTTCCTGCAAGTTAACTCATTTTGTCTAGACATAGGTTTTTTTTCCATATCCACTCTAAGCAGTCATGACTAGTTGTTTTAGTTCCAAAAAGCTTTATACATCGACCTTGCTACAATTACACATCACTTTTGGTTTTGCTCATTACAAAAACATGAGACCACATTGTAATTATATTTTCTACCGATGAGAATATAAATACATGAATCTCTAATACCTGGTTTTGCTAGTCTTTTTCCAGCTCTAGCTTTTTAATTCTAGATTTATCTAAATTTATTCTCTAAATCTAGTGGGATATCTGTAGTAATAAAGCTTGCCATTTGCCGAAACCGGTTTGGCTCAGTGGATAGAGCGTCGGCCTGCGGACTGAAGGGTCCCAGGTTCGATTCCGGTCAAGGGCATGTACCTTGGTTGCGGGCACATCCCCAGTTGGAGATGTGCAGGAGGCAGCTGATCGATGTTTCTCTCTCATCGATGTTTCTAACTCTCTATCTCTCTCCCTTCCTCTCTGTAAAAAATCAATAAAGTATATTTAAAAAAAAAAAAAAAAAAAGCTTGCCATTTTGGGCTAAGTTTTTCACCTCTCTGTGACATTTTATGCTCCTAATACTCACATGAAACAGCTTGTTTCTGATTCAAAATGAGTTTCCATAAATAAAGCTTATAAAAACAAAAAAGTAGGCAACTGTCTTGCAGCACAAAAAGGTTAGCATGTTTAAAAATCGAGATAAATAAAAGCTTAAGTATTAGGTTTCTATATTGCCTTACAAATTACCTCAAATTTAGAGGCTTAAAACACACACACATTTATTACCTCACAGTTTCTGTGGGTCAGCAGTTAGGGCACAGCTTAGCTAGGCTCTCTGCCCTTGGTCACAAGTCCACAATTAAGGTGTCAGCCAGGTGATTTCATCTGCAGGCTCAACTGGGGGAGAACCGGCTCCCAAAGCTCATCCAGTTGCTGGTAGAATTCATTTCCTTATAGCTGTGGAACTGATGGCTTCAGTTTCTTGCTGGCAGTTGGCTGGCGTCTGCCCTCAGCAACTAGTGGTCACCCCTGGTTTCTTGCTGCATGGGCTCCCTCAGCAGGCTCGCTTACTTCATCAAGCCAGCAAAGGGAATCTCTAGCTCCAGGCAGCCTACCAGACTGAGTCTCATATGAAGTCATACAATCACATAATTGACTTGCATGATTTCACTGTATTCTACAGGGTAGAAGCCCCTTATCCATGCTGGCCAGGCACCCCAGTGGGGACGCCCACCCTGAAGGGGGTGCGGGCAGCCTGAAAACAGCCCTCAGCCCCTCATCCAGACTGGCCAGGCACCCCAGTGGGAACGCCCACCCTGAAGGGGGTGCGGGCAGCCTGAAAACAGCCCTCAGCCCCTCATCCATGCTGGCCAGGCACCCCAGTGGGGACGCCCACCTTAAAGGGGGTGTGGCCAGCCTGAAAACAGCCCTTAGCCCCTCATCCATGCTGGCCAGGCACCCCAGTGGGGACCCCCACCCTGAAGGGGATGTGGGCAGCCTGAAAACAGCCATCAGCCTCACCCTGGCTGGCCAGACACCCAAGCGGGACCCCCACCCTGATCCAGGACACCCTTCAGGGCAAACCGGCCGGCCCCCACCCGTGCACCAGGCCTCTATCCTATATAGTAAAAAGGTAATATGCAAACTGACCCTAACAGCAGAAAGACTGGGAATGACTGGTCACTATGACACACACTGACCACCTGGAGGCAGACGCTCAATGCAGGAGCTGCCCTCTGGTGGTCTGTGAGCTCCCACATGGAGGAGCTCTGCTCAGCCACAACCCAGGTTGATGGCTGCCAGTATAGCAGTGGCGGTGGGAGCCTCTCCTGCCTCCTCAGCAGTGCTAAGGAAGTCTGACTGCATCTTAGGTCTGCTCCCCACTGGCAAGTGGACATCCCCCGAGGGCTGCCAGGCTGCCAGAGGAATGTCTGATTGCCAGCTTAGGCCCAATCCCCTGGGGAGCAGGCCTCAACCAGCAGATGGTCATCCCCCGAGGGGTCCCAGACTGTGAGAGGGCACAGGCCGGGCTGAGGGACCCTCTTCTTCT